AAAAGACTTCCTTCAGTTCTTCAGAGAGGGACATGATCTTTGCTGCCTGGATGTTCAGCCTCTCAAGTTAGCCACTATCCCAGCCGGGAGCCTGAAGCTCAGTGAAGCACAGATGTCACATACCTCTCTGGTTTGAGAGTGCTCTGAGCCCTGGAAAGGAAGAGAGGGCGAGTGGGGGGAGGGCTCAGCCTGAAGCACCTTTACATTTTCCCCTAAGCAATGAATCTTTCCGGTGGTTTGGGGGTCAAATCTCTAGCATCTCAACTGAGATGTTCATTGACGTTAATTCTGCTCAGAAAGCAATGGGATGTTTTTTCTACTACATACTCAGAGACGTTTGGTCCTAAAAACACAGACCCCTTACTCTAGCAACAACTCCCTTGCTGTAGCGTGCTGCACAGGGTGACAATTTCTGCTGGAACCCTTCAGGGTCTGTCCAAGACAGTGCCACGTTTGGTCACTGTATTCAGTTTGACCCGCTGCACGTCTCTCAAAATAAAGCCAATGTCTCCTTTCTACACATTGTAGACGTCCTGCAGCCCCAGGCAGGACTGGCTGTTATCATCAGAAATATGTCAGCCAGCGTTCATGCATGGATCACAGAAAGGCAAAAGTCAGTACCCTGCTTGCTGCATCTGCTCCACGATTCAAAGTTCAAGAAGTGATAAACATATTTAAGGGCAAAAAGTTATTGAGAGAAGCCCTCCCACTTGGACAACCTGCACATTTGACACTGCCATTACCAGCACATGTTTTCCAATACATGCATTTTTGCAGCAGAAATAGACAACAAGAGCTGAATCATCTCTGAAATGTTGCTAGCTACTCTCACTTTTCCTCCATTGTGCAAGTCAGAGGATCTCTAGACCAGCTTCAGCAAGGCTCGGAAGGGCAAAAGGTCCCAGATAGTATTTCTCCCCAAGAAACAGCCATGAAAGGAGTTAGAGTAAATACATAAGGCAAACATCTGTCATTATTCCTATTGCTCTGAGAGATGCACGATTCCTTTCAGTGCTGTGGAGCAGAAAGCCACAGCGACAGGTCCATGGTCCCGGGACACCAAGTGTCCTGGGGCAGCGCCCACATCCTTGGCACTCCATGCAGAACCAACATGACAATAACACCATCTACAAAGGAGAGCAAGGAGGTGAGAGGGGACATGCCAGCTCTGTGTAGAATGGCAGGAACTGCTATTGCAGCTTTGCAGAGCACGAGCAGGGCGTGGGGAAGGCCTCCGCCCCGCCATTGCTCATACCCTAGCAAGCTTCCATCTCTCGCTACATGGCCAGACATGTTTGCTAATTCCTTTTTCTTTCTAAATGCATTTTTCTCAGTGAAGGAAGCTCAGAAACACCCTGAAACAGGCTCAGACAGGGATTACAGGCCCAGAATTAGCAGCTGGGGCACTGATGGGTCTGTTCTAGGCTGAGAAACAGTCACCACGGCTTTCCAGTCAGTGCATGGTGTTCTTGCCTGCAGTCAATGATGCAAAACTACCTCTGCCCTTCATCACTCTCCTCTTTCTACACAAAAAAAAAAAAAACAAAAACAAACCCAAACCCAAAACCCCAACAACACACACCCCCCCCCATCAAAACCCGAAAAGCAGTAAATAGCCTTCTGGAATTCTTTCAAATCTGCCTTTCAAAAAAACATGACCTGTTTGGGGGTTGGGTTTTTTGGAGGTGGAGGGGAGAGCTGTGTGGTTTGACTGCACTGTTTGCAGCTCTACCATGACAGAGTTTGCTGTACAACCCGCGCTTGTGCACACATGACCTACAAATGCAGCAAAATTCACGCTCAGCTCCAAAGCTCTCAGCTGGTGCAGCATATCTCAGTGGAGCAGGCCAAAGCATCCCACTTCCCAGCTATACTGCCAAAAGCTGTAGAACTCAAGCAGAGCTACGTCCTCCCAAGACCACCCCTATGCAGGACCCAAAATAGGAGGTAGCTTAAAAACAAGTCCTCAGCACACAGAACCCTGCATACTGGGATATCTGCACTGAGAACTTCCAAAGTTCTCTGTAGCTGAGTTACCGAGGCTGTGGTCCTTATTTGCCATCAGATCCTTCCTGGACTTATCACCCTATTTCTCAGAAGAAATTCTGGTCCTGTCTGGGAACACATTTTTTGCAGGGTCTCCCTCTGCGACACACACCAGCAAGTGGGTGCTGTGCGTGCACCAGCTGAAGACAGCACCCACTCACCCAGGCTGTTATGTATATTACAGTGCTGACACATCCAAATCCTTCCACAGAATGACTGCCTTTACTAAACAAATTGGGGGAAAAAAAAAAAACCAACACGTAGATACCATACTGCCTTCACATTTTCCTACTTTTGCACACGGTTATATGAATCCTCAGCACTTCTATGTCTCTCTAGGTCTCTTTTCAGGAAAAACAAACAAAAAAGAGTAAATATTATGGGAAAAAATACTCACCTTGTGTGGCTTGGGACAGTCAACTTGTCTCTTGCACGAGGGGTTCTTCAGTGACTAATTTGGAGTACCTGAAAGAATCGGTTGCTAAATTGTCTTGAGGTTGTATGTATAAGACATTTGTCTTCCTTACAATCTTTGGTTTTGATTCTCTTATTTCAAGTTGTTTGGTGGTCACTTTTAACTTGCTAGAGGAAGTTAAGAGCTAGACTGATGTACTGACAAATCAGAATGCAGAAGGGACTGCTACAGAGAGGTGAAAAGAACTATAGATGCATATGCCTCAGAGCAGATGATGGGTATACAGCTTCATAAGACGACACTTCACAGGTACAAGATGTGGCTCAGTCCCAGTCCTTCCATTGCGGCAGACTGATCCAATAAGTTGCCATGTAAGAAGTCAAGAACAGAGAAAATTCTTGGCAAGCGACCCTTTTGCGGCCTGTGCTCCCTCCTAGTTTGTTTTTGGTGATCAGAGCTGGTTAAAGAACCACCACTCCTGCAGACTGGATCTTGTGAGGTATCAACAGCAAGGAACTCGGAGTAGCTTTGCTGAGCCTTACTGCTGGTGCTACAGGTATCCTACAGGCAGAAGGGCCACCATCAACATGCTTTTCACTGCGCAGTCAGCTGCTCCCTTGTGAAACACATACGAGATACACAGCATGGACTGCTTTTAGCTGGCACCCCCCTCCCCCGCAAGTCACTTTGAAAGCATATTTTCATCCTTCCTCTTCCTCTGGAGTACCACAGCAATCTCTGTTCTCTAACGTATTATCAGTGGTTTTAATGGTACACGGAGCAACTTCCATACAGCTAGCAAAGGAAGAGAGAGTGAAGTCTTAATGTGCGACGCCATTCACAATCACGAATGCTATTAGCTTCAAGGTGGCAATTCAGCTTTACACCAGGAAGAGACTGCCCAGGATCTAGCCTGCTGTTTGCAAAGGAGTCATAGCTGAAGGCAAATATTCTGCAGAAAAAAAAAAAAGTTGTTCATTTCCATAAGGAACTTGAACAACGTATTATTGCTGAAATTGGAGCAAAGCCACTTCCTCCAGGCTGCGTATCCCACTGATATCCTTTCCCAGGAAAGTTTTGGTCAGGAGAGACATTGTATCATCAGGAAGTGCAAGCTTGTTAAATATTACTTTATAGTAAACAAGAGAAAAATATGTTTCTTTATCTGGAGGTACAGAGCTACAGCTAACCTTCCACGTAGCTGTAATCGACAGCTATCATAGAGCTGCTAAAGGGGGACTCGGTACATGTTCCCTGTTGAGTTAAATCTGTTCCCTAAGCACCTTTACCCATCATCATATGACAATTTCTATTGCTAAGCAACAACTCAGGATGGCAGTTTTATGAGCTCAACTATATTTAGCCAAATAAATCCACAGCCCAGAATGGAACAAAGCAGTTTATTGGTAATGGCACATCAAAGTCAACAGTAAACTTGTAACACATAGGTAAAAGGAGACTATTTGACCAATGCTGCATACAGAAAGGAAGCGGAAAACAGCAGCTGTTTGGGTATTGAGCAGACACGAATTCCACTGCACTCTGCCATAGATTATTGGACAAGGTTGGTGAAAGAGCAAGTACTCTTTGTTACTGAGCAACAATGCATGTTCAGCTGTTTCCCTAAAATGGTACCTAGAAAAAGAGGAACATGACAGTTGTTCTGAACACGGAACATTCCTTCGCACACTGCTTGAGTCAACAGTTGAGGTAGATGTGGTCATGTTTCCCCAGATACAGAGTCCCCATTTGCATCTCTGATTTAAAACCATTATTTTTATATGAATTGTGCTTCAATTCTACAAGTACAAGGAGATGTACCTACTAATGCAGCTGTTGGACAAATTAAAAAAAAAAAAAGGAAAGAAAACTCAACAATGTAAGGTAACAGTACTGTGCAATTGGTGACTTAAAAATCAGAAAATAGTACAAACAAAATAGCGATCCTGTAATTCAATGGCAGATTAAACCAAGAAACAGTTAAAAAGCGGTAGGTTCTCCTTCCTCCAAGACAAAAGATGTCATATATCAACTTAATCAAACTGTTTTAAGTCCTTAGCAAATACGTTCCAAAAAAAATGAGGCGAAAACATTGTCAGTGCCCAGTGACCATTACCTCAGAGAGCTGATGTCCCTCTGGAGTAGACTGTGCTTCAGGCAATTTGAATTCAAGGGTGCAGGAAAGGGGGGATGTCACCAATAATAAAGGAAACAAATTTGCGAGTAAACTAAGAAACGTGCATTGTCAGAATGCTGGTAGGAAACACGCTGTACAGCTGTAGGCACTGAGGTTTCTGTAGGCCTGGAGATGTAAGGCTAAGAGAGGGTTTTTTCCCCCAATAAATTAGAAAGATTTCAAAATTCATTCTTTTGTGCTTAAATAAAAGTGAATTATCCCATCGGCATTATTCTTCCAGTCTAACAAGATTAGAGCAGGTCCTTCAATCTGCACTGGTTATCCAGCAGCCTTCGTACCATCTATCAAGCCATGATTTTCAGTGCTGTAATGTTGTTCTTTCTCTGTAGCTTTGGTCTTTCATCAGTATGGGTCTTCCTCATCCGTGTCCTAAACAAGGAGTATGGAAAGAGAAAATGAGACTATGTATGAAGACATGAACCAAGTTCTGTTTGACACAATTTTGAGTCTGCTAGGCTTCTGACAGGAGTTTAAATGCTTTCCAAAATGCTGCTGTCCTTGAATAAGCCACAGGACTTGGAGTCATATAAGCACTTGCAGCTAAATCTGTTTGACTTCTCACAGATACACAGATGAATTGTCACTGTATAATCAACATGTGAAATGTGTTTTAAGAGAAGTAGCAGCTAAACCTCAAGCAAAAGAAAAACCATCAAGTGCAGACAGCCATCTTCTGAAAAAGCACCACCAATCCCTACACAGGAGGTCCGGAGCAGCACACGCTGTTGTTCAGCTACAGCCAACCACATATTTTCAGATCCCCATCATCTACTGTCTTAACCACAGTAAGCCTTTGATGGCATCCCCACAATCCAGCTCTGCAGCTCTCAACTGGAAAGCAACTCAAACCTAACAGCTCTATGAGGGATATCTCACTTACTTTCCAGACATTTTAAATCCAAACATTATCACTGGCTTTGCAATTTACCTTTTTGGTAACATGCTAAGCATTAAAAAGTACATTATAGAAACCTCAAAAATGTAGAATCATTAAAGTGAGTGAGACAGGATTTTCAGAGACTTAGTAAGTTAAATGTTTTGGTATCAGAGAGCAAAGTATCAAACAGATGACAAAATACTCAATATGAAAGCAGCAGGATTATAGCATTCAAATTTTCCTTCTCTCAAAGGATGAGAAGGTATTTTTCAATTTTTAAATGCCTGACAGCATTTTTCTCACTGAATCTGGGCTCCAATACTTTTGCATCTCTCCACTGGCAGTACAGCAACGGTGCCTCCCTGTTCCCCAGCATTTCACTAGCAACAGCCTTTCCATCTCCCATGGCAACTCTACCTTTTGCACAAAGCATTTTCTACTTTCTGCAGCTCCCAAAACTTTTTCCCTGATACTGCTACATTGTATGTGTGTTACATAGAATTGTAAATATTTCTTATGTAAATATTTCTTATGTAACTTGCATAATTGCTTGGTTTTCATTCTGTATCTAATAGAGCATAGAAACCATCAGCACACACTGTCTGAAGGCTCGTGCATTTAGTACATTTTAAATCACTGGCATTAGAATAGTGAATGAAGTGACACATATTTAAATCCTCCTTAACATACTTCCTGACCATGCATAAACGACATAAAGGCGTGTCTGAGGTAAGCTTGCTCTGTGGGACATCAGGAAAAAATGAAAACACTCACATTAGCCATATTAGTGAGCTTACTCTGGAATGTGCCACACTTACGGCTGTAGCTGCTAATGCCAGCACAAAGAACTGAGGCACATTTTACAAAACAAGTAGAGCAGGTGGACAAAACATTCAGTAGTTCCAGTGCAAAACATTTGATTAACAGAGGCTGGCTGACAGGGCAGCAAGTGAACAAGCAGAATGAGAAGACAATCACCACTTCACAAAACTAAATAAAACAAATCACAAGAGGTTAGCAGGATTATGTTGTGACAAAAACAGTGTAAGTAGGAAGACGTCCAAAAAAGAAACAAGGCTGCACACTACTATCTTTGCAAGAAACATAGTGGTTTGAGGTTATCGCTGCCTCCATTCCTCACCGTAGGAGGAATGTCAAACTGCAAACTGGTTTTGCAGAGTCTTTAAAGAACTACAGAGCACGGTAGCTAGCACTTAAAATTCTGAATTTTCATCTTAAAACGTCAGCTTTGGTTTCAATAATATCAAATGAAAAATCAATTTGGTGCATCTCAAGACAACTTCCCCTGCTAGTAATACAGTATGACCAGCAGTTCTCACCCCCTATAGCCCATACGTGGAAAACACCAAGGGGCATAAGTCCAGCCATTTGGGACATTTCTTTAACATCCACAGGTGTTATGACAAGCTCTACCTGCTGCTCTTTGCACCTCCTCTGACCACCAAAGTTGACAAAACCACTTATGAAACACCAACTTTCACTTACCACACAGTTCAGGAACCAGTCTCTGAGTTTCCCCAAGCAGTTGTCTGTCCCTGTATGTTCAGGCCTGCAGTAAAAGCACAGGATTAGGTTGGACTTTTTCCCCAACACACATACTAATATCTCCTACGGACTGTGAATTCTAGTTCTACCACACTGAATCGAAGGCTTTTCACCATGATGAAGAAAGAACGTCAGGTCCCTTATTTTGAAGGCACATCAGTGCCATGAAGAATACAACAAGAGTTGCTATTTGGCTGGCAGATCTTACAACACTAATCAGAACATTGTATTAAAACCCCATTCTTGCCAGAAAGTGTAGTACTGAATTGATTGCAAAAACAGGTGCAGCTCCAGCATTAGCAGTGTCACCTTATGGTTCTTGCTACCGAACCTTCCCAGAACAGAATCCTCTCCAGTTCAGAAGGGAATTCAGTCTCTAAGGCTCATTCAGTACCTGGCATCTCTGCTCAGGCCATCACAAGGAAACCAGTTAGCATTATTCCGTTTGTTTTGTTGTTATGGATACTTCATACTAAAATGCAACACACTCGGCCTAAATCAGCATGGTATTTTGCTGATTTAGGCTGAAATGCGTCCGATTACAGAACTGAAAGACTGTCTAACCCTAAACCACTTCAGTTCCACAGCCTCACAAGACAGACAGAAAAAAAGGGGACATACAGCACTTAGTTTATGCCCCAGCATGGGGATTTTCCAAAGCTTTCTGACCGCTGGCTAAATGATGCTCATAGAGGAGTAGATTTCAGTGACTGAACTGCAGATGCTGAGAGATATGTAATGAAAGACAGTGAAAAAAACTGTCCTTTGGCCTGTGGCAACAGGCCGAAGTATAAATACAGGCTTTAAGTTGCAGCCATAACTTACTCATCAGACACTTCGATGGAGGATTTCTTACAGCCAGTTTTTTTTTTCTCCTTTACCGCTCCGAATTTTCTTCCCATCCTTACCAACAGCAGAATAACCACAATGATGGAAGGCAGAAATACTAAAATGGACAGCAGCACCGCTGAAGTTAGTTGGAAGGCAAGGCCTGCAGGAAAGACAAAGAGCAGCCCAGCTGTATCAGTAGTAAAATACAGCTTGCTTAAAGCACTGTGACAAATGTTCATCCAGGACACAGGTTGCTAGCCTTTTGATATAAAGCACAGAGCTGGCAGATTTGAAACAGCTTGTCACTGAATCTGCAGGATTCCAATCACGTATCCAACACAGCAGGGTGCTTCATATGCAAAAATCTACAAAGGATGGCAGGTCACGACATAGTTCTATCAGCATGTCTAAGCTGCAAATTTGGGGCAGGTTGCACACGCAGGGCAGATGAGGAAATTATTACTGAGAATCAGCGTTTGTGATGTGACAGTTATTTTTAGACCACTATTTCCTAAACATTTAACTTGTTCTACTGCCGCAATATGTGGAGACTGGAACTCCTGAACAAATGCACGCTTTTGATTTCTATTATCAGCACAGCTTCCCCTGTCCCTTCCTGCCCCCAATAAATTCAGTAGTTCTCAATGTATCTAGCTCAGAAAGAAGGGCTGAGGTAACTCTTGCTGAGATTCTAACGTGGAACTGCAGGGAACCCATTTCACGTGATGGTCGGACTTCTAAGATACTGACAAAGCTGCAACGCAGCTGTATCACATAGACGAGGATGCTCTATCGAAATGGAGGCTTACCCCTCTCCGTAACTATCAGCACTGTCTGGGGAATGTTATGGTACACGTCTGGAGGGTTCTTCACACTGCAGATGAACGTCCCATTGTCACTCATCACTGGGCTTTGGATAGCAATGGAAGCATCGCCCTTGGCAACATTCCCAACCCAGGATATCCTGTCTTTGAACTTTCCCATCGTTGGGTATGGAACAGACTGATAATGAAAAATCTAAAAGGAGGCAAAGACATTAATTGCGCCAATAACACACTTATCTGAGAAAGCAAACTAAACTACTTTTTGGACTGTAAACATAAAGGAATACACATTAGGAAGGCAGAAAGATTACTTCTTATAAAGGACACCTTCTCAAGTTCCTGTTTGATAATTCTATGCCAGTCACATTTCATTAGATCTCCAATGCTTTTATCTACCAGCCTCAGCTGTCAGATATCACCATCACCATTCTGACCAACTTGTTCCCTTCTGCAGATGTTCAGCTGAGAAGTAAAGCAGGCTTCTTGTCTCATGCAAGACAGAACATTGCAGTTCTTCAGGTTTTGCTTCTTGCACTTTTGCCCTTGCTGTCCTAGGAGTACAGAGTTAGCAGATCTCACTTCATATATGCAGCATCCTTTTGTTCCAGATACAAGGACACTCCTAAGAGTTCAAACTCTTCAGGCAGTGGAAGTCACTGATAATCCGTAAAGATGTGCATTTTCTATTTCCACCTTGAATAAGATTTTCAGTGGGCTTTCAGACGTATGTATTTATGCTTAGATTTCAAAACGCTGCCAACAAAACAGCAAGTAGCAGCCCATAAACTTTCGAGGCTGTCATCATCACTGTCTTCAGACTGTCATTGCACACATGTTCTTGCCACTCCAAGATATATCAGCAGTAGACTGCACAACAGAACTACTAGGGTACAGCTGCCTTCAAGAAAGCTACTGATCAAATGCTTTCCAGTCATTCTATACATAGCTACAGCGTACAATGCAGCACTCATGTCAAAACCCAAAGTTTATCTACGTTATCATCGTTATGCTATTATGCATTTACATAGAATACTTTTTGCCCAAAGAACGCTACAGCAATTTCACACGGGAAAGAAGGCGACAATGAGAGTCCCAAACTGATGAAGCAGCACAGCAAGGTAAACAGAAAAAATACCATCAGATTTTCAGCAGGCACAGAGGCCTGGTCAGTCTCCACTAGGAAAAGACTCCCTGTCCCACTTACTGTCTCCATCTGACCACCTGTGAGGGGCCGGTATGTCCAGTCTACTGTCAGGCTGTCAGTGATGGGAGAACTGGATTTGAATGAGCATTTCAGCAATACTTGTTCACCAACAAAAGCTTGCACTTTAGGACTGGCTTTAATTTCCAGGCAAAGAGCATTGCAGACACCTGATGGAAGAAGCACAAAAGACTAGGATTAGTTTCTTGTTATCTGCAAGGCGCAGAAGTGATGATGTCCCAAAGGTACGTGCAGGTCAACCACAGTCGAAAGACTGAAGCACAGTAATGACTACGTCCCCGATAATGAAATTTAAAGAAAAACAGACAGCTTCCGTAACCTGTTCTCTGTGGGATTGGAACTAGCCCAAATTAAAGTATTTATCTAGAAAATACCACCAAAAGCCAACAGATATTTAGATATGGAGATAAAGAGCTGAGAAACTGAATCAGCTGGCTCTCTGACAACTTGCAAAATGCCAGCTTTAGACTACTTCAAGGCAGTTCTGGCTCTGCACATCTTGCCCCAAAGTGATAGAGCCAGTGAACTGCACGTGCACCGGGTCATTAGACACCCTGCAGCAGCAAGTACTCTTACTTCTCGCTTTCAGTATGTGCAACAACTTCTGCCTAATTCACCTACCGCAATGCTCCAGCCAGGGATGAGGTCAGCCTGCCCAGCATTCAGCCATTTGAATCCCCCCTTTCACCAATCTCCTGCTCCTGGCTTATGAAGATTTATTATGGTGATACTCTGCATGAAGTTCTGCTCTAATTGCCACAGCTGACTGCCGTGCGGGCTCAGAAAGAGCAGGCACAGATTTCTATTCAGATTTGCCAGTGCCTGTGCAAGTTTCTGGTGTCGCACACCTGTTCCGCACTACCAGTATAAAATGTAAGGGTCTTGACAACACACTCCTTTTGCTACCGACTGAAAGTCCTGAAACCTCGAGTGCAGGCAGCTGGACCTTAGCAAAGCAAGTGGAGACAGCACAAAGGTACCCACGTCTCGAGCGTGAGCAGCGGGCAGAGTGCAGCGTGAGGAAACGAACGCCGCCAGCTGCCCGCCGGGCCCTGCTGCAGGGCCTTCG